TGTAAATAATCTTTTTAGAGTCGTCTGACCAGGTTGCACCCGAGAACTTCACATTATAATTTGAATAAACTTTGCCGTGACAAGCTGAATCACCCGAAACGGGTAATTTAATCGTTTTTACCAGAGTTCCGTGCAACCATATTTGAACAAAACAACCAACATTGGCAGCACAAGATTTGACAGTTCGAGACGCGGTTGACAATGCTGCGGCTTGTGCATACTCAACACAAATGGCCCGCAGGCCTGGTTCACGGGCCTCGATAGTCCATATAACACGTGATCCATTCTGGTCGACCATGGGGAATCCTTTTCCCAAAGAGGTCATGGAAGGCTCAGAGATGAACTCAGAACAAATAGCGCCCTGAGAATGGTCCACCGACAAAACTGAGGTTTGATGAAAACTACAGCGTTCCTTGCGAACGACATCCAACGTTTCCCATTCAGAATTCACGACATATCTGACAGGTTTATTTGATGAACACTCCAAAGGAGACACGTGAGCNACGCTTAAAAACTGCCGTCAAACGGGCAGCGATGGCAGTAGTGGAGGTCATTGGGGAACTTGAGTTTACCTGTATTCAAACAAAACATTTGCGGTTATCGTGAGCATTTAGTACCAGAGATGACAAAAGATTTGGTAGGCAGAAGATGTATTTCAAAACTAAAGACAAAAATAACAATCTGGACATTGCTCCAAAAAGTGAGCTTTGCCGAAACGAAAATGCGCTTTTGAGTCAACTATCAGTACGTAAAAAGTGCTGCACGATCAACGGGTTTCATCGCGTTACAGCTCGGCTCTTTTGATCGGAACTGAAATGCGTTTCAAGCAATGAGCACAACTCTTCAGATTGTTGCACAAGCTCGGTGGTCACATCCGAAGTAGGTGGCTCTGATAAGAGGAGAAACAATCGGAGCTTGATCTGAACTTGAGCATTCTGAAAAGGAAGCAGTAAGCAAAACACCGTATTATCAACGTTGATATAATGCGCAATTTGCAAAAGTGATCTGCCTCCTCGTCCTTGGCCTGAATATGACATAACTAGCTCGGGGATTGGTATAATAGTGAAGATGAACCCCTTACACTTTAACACAACAGAATGTTCTGGATTATTTTTACACTAATTAAGTTTCTATCGCCTCTTACGTCAACCGTCCTCACCTCACGCCGGGGAACCCAGACTACTTCGCTTATTGTGAATGTTATAGTGTTAATAACACAGCGATGTCGGTAGAGAATTACATTCGCCGACGTTTCGGTTACGGTGGGTAACCTTTCTCAAGGCAGGTTTTACAATCAAATGACTCTGAGTTACTTCACGTTACTTTGAAGGATGAGAAAGACGTCCAGAATATTCTTCTTTCTAGTCACCTTCTTGGCAAAGTTTCAAGTCGTATAAGAATACTTCCTGATCGACCGTGGACCGGAAGTGTGCGCCATCGCACGAACCCAGTAGATGCACGCGAGTCGGAAAATAAACGAATTATATTGATTCACAGAGTCCCGAAATTAAACGATCCAGACGAATCCGCATGTCAACAAAACGATTGTAAAGAGTGGAGGTTTATTCAAGAGTTGATTGAATGCCATAATATTTTCACTACCTCAATCAGTCGACTTCCGTGTTCAGCAAAACTACCGTGGAAACGACCCGAGGATTATGAAAGTAACTCCCAGTACCCAGGAAATGGTCACATCAGTCTTGTAGGCATGGTATCAAAACAGGAGAAGAGGACCACCAGAATTACACCTCAGACCAGTGTAGAATAATGAGGTTAGAAAACCAAAGTCCACTTCCCTCTACTTCTTCGGGAGCTCACACCAGCAGAACCGATTCCCCAAAAAACTACTAATAGCCGACCGCAGAGTGGTCGGCATTCGAAACCCAGCGGATTCCTAAACAGACGCTCCTTAGCTTGTTTTTACACAAATGCACAAGGCTTCCTTAGTAAACTCCCTGAGGTTCAAATGCGCTTACAAACTGGTCAGTGGGATCTTGTTGCCATTACCGAAACTTGGTTGACTGCCGATATTCTCGACTCTGAATTGCACCTACCCGGAATGTCGCTGCTGAGGCGTGATCGTTGTACATCAGGTGGCGATGTGTTGCTATATTTCCGCAGCAACCTTCAATGTGAACTACTCGATCTCTTTAATGCAGCCCCCGACAAACTTTGGTGCATAATGAGGCTGTCCAAAGATAGTAATTGTTTGATCGGTGTAGTGTACCGCCCTCCTGCATCCTCAGACTTAGCTAACGAGGCACGCTTGCAGACTATGAGAAACGCTGTCTCAGTAAGGTGCACTCATGTTCCCATAATGGGGGACTTCAATTGACCCACTTTTATAAAAAGCCAGAACTATCACCACCCTTTCGAGCGAAACTTATCACAGTTTATAGACTCACATCCCAGGTATAATCACGTGAAGAATCCCACCAGATTTGGAACAGGCCACCAACCATTAACATTGGACTTGGTATTGACCAGTGAGGAGCTTATGGTCGAATCGGTCGAAATAACGTCTCCATTAGGACGAAGCGACCATGCAGTTCTGCTTTTCGATTACATTTACCACGCCTCAATAGAAATATGCCTGAAAACCAACACACGGACAGTTATTGACCACAATGAATTACTGAACCTTGCTACTATCAAACAATGGATACAACCAGAAGAGCAGCTAGATCCACTGGAGTAGTGGAAAAGTTCATTGAAGCACTAACAGAACTCACAACGGTCGCCATAAAAACCAAGCCTGTTGGTGCGTCGCCTACACGATTATCACCTATCCGTAGTCGAACAAAAAAATGGATGTCACAGAGGAAGTTCTCCTGGAGAGAGTTCAGAAGATGTCCAACCGCCGACACTTGGGATAACCATATCTTGTTGAGAAATATTTGTGCAAAATTAGTGCGAGAGGATAACCGAAGGTTTCAAGAAACTCTGGCACATAAATTTATTGCTAATACAAAACTACTGTATAAGCACATTAATGCTACCAGAAAAGTGAAATATGGAATACCGGCACCAAGGCATGCATGACTCGTTTCCACTACTACTGCTGAAGCAGCCGAATTCCTAAATTTCCAATTCTACAAAGTATTCACTGCAGGCGGATTACAGCTTCCACACCTTCTACCAAGTGTCCATTACCCCCACCGTCACGTTCCAATCTGAAACGGTTAAAAAAACTATTGGCGCTGCCCTGTAATTCATTTCCAGGGAAAGACAACATTCGGCCACAGACCCTGACGTCCTTGGCAAATTACATATCTGAAATAATTACCCATTTATACCAACGAATGTTCGACAAGACGAAGATCCCTCAATCCTGGACACACGGCATCATTTTGCCTATTTACAAAGGTGGCTGTAGAAGTGATCCTGCGAACAATCGTCCAGTTACACTTCTTCCTGTTCTATCAAAAGTAATGGAATCGATTGTTGCTGATTCT